ATCGATTACCCTCAACCTAAGACAATTAACAGCGACTGGATGGAAGCCTCTCGCATTCTTCTCGCGAAAATTGTCGTCATCCCATCGTAACTACAGCGCCTATGATAGGGAACTTACCGCGGTTTACGAAGCAATCAAACACTTCAAGTACTTTCTCGAAGGCCGTGTATTCAAGGTTGTAACTGATCACAAACCGCTGACCTTTGCTTTCTCTCAAAAGTTAGACAAGGCCTCTCCGCGTCAACGCCGCCAGCTTTGTTTCATATCACAGTTCACCACGCATTTTGAGTACCTCCCCGGCACAGCCAACGTAGCAGCGGACGCTCTCTCGCGCGTAGAGACCATTCGTCTCCCCCTCGATTTCGAAATGCCAGAGCTGGTGCAGCACCAGCAGCACGACACAGAGTTGAAAGAGCTCCTCGAATCATCTAACCACTCACTTATTCTCAAGAGCATTGAGTTTGGTCACAACCACAATCACCTCTATTGTGATCTAACGGGTAACATAATTCGCCCCTACGTTCCGAAAACTCTTCGTAAAAAAGTCTTCGACCTGTTCCACTCACCATCGCACCCGAGCTCCAAAGTCACGACCCAATTCCTCAGGCAGAGGTACGTGTGGCCTGCAATGCATCGACACATCAAAGCCTGGTGTCAAGCCTGCCCCGATTGTCAACAAGCGAAAATCTCTCGCAACGTCAAAAATGAAACCCTCAAAAATGAAAACCTCCTGACGACCGCTTTCGTTACGTCCACATGGATATCATTCGGCCTCTTAAAGCTTGCGATGGCTATAACTATATTTTAACTATCATCGACCGTTTTTCGCGATTGACTGAGGCGGTGAACAAAACTATTGAAGCTTCTACCGTTCTTCGTGCGTTCCAGGATTGGGTCCCGCGTTTCGGTGCTCCCCGCTTCCTCACCACCGATCAAGGTGCACAATTTGAAGCGAAGATCTACAGCGTTTATCTCGCCTTCCTTGGCTGCAAACGCAAGCGGACCGCCGCGTATCATCCTGCCGCCAACGGCCTTATCGAGAGTTGGCACCGCAGCTTTAAAACTGCACTCATGTGCCACAACAATCCTGATTGGCGAAGCATCCTTCCAATCGTGGTCCTCGGCTTGCTCACAGCTGTGCGTCTCGACACGGGTGCATCCCCCGCTGAATTCCTCTATGGAACCAGCCTCCGCATTCCGGGCAAATTCTTCATTTTCGACGATTTTATGGCCAATCCTCAAATATTTATTGAAGATTACCGCGAGCACATGCGTCAGCTCAAGCCAGTGCCAGTTGAACATCACCACGGCACGCGCCCCTTCATCTTCAAGGACCTCGCTTCGTGTACGCATGTTTTTTTGTGCTCTCCAGCAGTCAAATCTCTTGTAAGGCCCTACTCCGGACCCTTTAAGATCCTCGAGCGCGTCTCAGATCGCAACTTCAAAATCGATGTGAAGGGTGCTCAAGGTCGTATCGACAGAATTGCTTAAACCGGCTTATTTTGTTCCGGAAAGTCTCGGTACTCCGTTTTTGGATCTCTCGGTTCCGTGCGTTGATCCCAAAAAACCTGTTTCCTCTTTAAAAACTTACTCGCGATCAGATCAGCTTCAGATTCCTCGCCGAGTTCGTTTTGATCCTAGTACTAAGTAGCATTAAGTTAGTTTTAAGTCAATTTTTATTGTGTTACCTAATTAAAGTTTGTGATCTCGACAGCTTCCCTCGAAGCGTGTGGGAAGCTTGTCAACCCTTTCTAATAAAACCAGAAACGTTCGAGACTGAATCCTTAGTATTAAGGCTTATCGGAGCACTAATTAACACCTTGCTCTTGTGCCCCACTTACCTTACTTGTACCTGTTCTCGACTTATCTTTAGTTGTAATTTCTTTGTAACTACAGTTTTGTTCCGCAATATTAGATTGTTTTGTCAGTCGGCTTGTGCGTTAGCCATCCACCTTGTTGTACACTTAATTTTTTTTAATGCTTTTTCTCGTGGGGGAGTATGTGGGGGCACACAGCTCTCTCACGGCCTGAGTCGGTAACTCCCCTCTCTTCCTGACCAATCATGGCTCGTCGCTGTGCTTTGACCATCGTACCCCATAATCTCTAACCAAATTTCCTGGCGCAAACCTCTTTTAAAAATTCTCAACGCGGCCGATTTCACAGTTGTTTCATAAATATCATGAGCTTGGTCTGTTGTGTTTGGATCTATTTTTTTTAGTTCTTTAATCTGTAGAGTTAATCCCTGTAATCGATTCGCATAACTTAAAACTGAGGTTTGCATAATTTCCTCGAATTTTCCATACAAATTGTGAATGTTATCCGACGACGGATATAATTGCCTTATGACTGATGAAATCATTGATACTTATTGTGTTTTAATTTTTCTATATATTCCGTAATTTTTATGTTTTTCCTGAGAAAGTTTGGAGCAATATTGGCGACATATATAAATAATAATCGTAAGAGTTAAGCAGCTGTATTTCTGTTTTACTTATATATTTATTTATTTATTTTGGAAGACTCGCTCTAGTTGGATTGCAAAGTACTAGTTGCTTTTTGATATAGCTTGTAAATTTCGTGTCTTTTGCATTGTTACAAATGCTATAATTACTAAAAATTTACTATCTATGTAGTCTTTATCTGGAAAAGAGAAGTCGTGTTCAATATTCGTGTTAGGTATTGTGGTAATACCTAATAATAAATTTGAATGCTTAAAATTTAAAGTTAACTGCCTTACCATACTAATCCTAATTACTAGTACTTTACCGACATTAGTATTATATTTTAATTCGAAGTTTGAAATATTTGCTAATTCTATTGTTTCATTCATATTCGCTAAAATTTTTCTCGCAAAATTCATAGTTTTTTCGAATATACGTTATTCTTAGTCTTATTGTTCGATGAGGAATGAGCAAGTTTACTTCGACTCTAAAATGGATTATTTTATTTGATGAAGTAGGTCGCGTGGGTGAAACTATTTTCTTCAAATCTAAGATTTTTTTACTAGAAGTCGTGTTAAGTGTATTACTTCCTCAAAACCGGCTTTATTTTTATTGTTCATTAATAATTAAAAAATTACAACATCTGCATACTAAAACAGGATAAAAAAACCTATACCTTCTGTAACAAAGCCACCATTAGCTTATTCTATTTTTCTTTCAACTTAAAAAAAAGAAGAATTCACCTCTGAAATTATAAAATGTGTTCAAGACATCCTGTTTGTACCGGAACCATCATCAAGTGTAGACTCGATGATCAGCATTTTTTATTTCTCTATTTATAAAAATAATATTATTCTGTGTTCCGGCCGGAATGAACGTCGCAAGGTCAGTTTTGGCCAAATTTATTTTGGCTCACTGCATAACAGGAGGCCGTGACGTCACTCGAAGAAGGTTTACACCGGTTTCACCTAAGGGTCAACGATTGTCTATTAACTTGTTTTCTGTTTTTGCTTCCTGTTTTTTTGAATAAATTAATAACACTTTTGTTTTCTTCCTTTGTATTCTTATTTTTGCTGCTTGTTACAACTTGCTTGGTGACGTCAGCAAACAGGCTACTACGTTCTCTGCAGGCTTCAAGAGGGCAGCACTTCTCGGCGAGCATGATGGTTCTCGTCAGCGATCGCGGAGGTGGGAGTAACGCTGGTGCCCCTTCCACAGATCCATTCACTAGAGTAGGAGACGGCGTCGAGGCGCTCACCAGAGTTGATGCCTGAGAGACAAGCGAGCTGGCGAGTCAGTTCTGTTCCTGCTCACCAGCGGATCGGTCATCTTCGCTTCCGGCTCTCGCCAATACCTCGTGACACGGCGGTGATAGTGAGCTCTCGACGTGTTTATCACTGGGGTGTGCAACGCTGCCCCCCCCCCCCTTCCCCCTGAGATCTGGTCGAACAATCAGCGAACGCTCCAGCCATTGTTTCACAACGACGCTTCCGGCGACTGCTCCTGCTCATCTTCGTGACAGCCCTGGCGCTTACTCACCCGATGTGACAGTGACTGTTCTGGTAGCTCGTGTCAAACATCGCTGTCGTCTCCGGATTGGAAGCCTCTCAGTCTGGCGTAGAGGTTGCGGTTGGCGTTCGCACCTAGGTGATTATTCCGAGGGAGATCTTCTGTCACCTCCGTGCGGTCTCACAAGTTTGTGAAAACGTTCTCATTGATTTAATTATACTGTGCAGTGACTTATCTCTCCTTACTATGTAAACGTAAAGGTGAATAAAATAGTTATTTGGAACGACGGTGATATTCCTCACATCAACGACCCTATCACTCCTCGATCAAACCGGCCCTTCTTAGCGAGTGTGATTTCCCTAGAAGAAGCCACTCGACTAAAAATCAACTCGCGAACATTCTTTTTAAAATAATTAATCTTAGTATAATTGTTTTATCAACGCCAATTGATATGACATAGTTAATTATTTAATACGACATCAAGGCAAGACTTACCTGGTTATTGCGATTATTACGTTTCTTCGTTAGCCACTGATTCAACTTCTCTGGTCGGCTCAATGAGATAGCCGCGAATGGGCAATGAATTCACAGAAAATAATCATTTTTGACACTCAATAAAATGTTTTATACAACCTCAGTATAAATTCTAACTAATACAATTTCAAGATATATGTAATTTCAGTGTTCTATTTTATTTGATGTAATAAAGGTAGAGAGATATAAATTCAAATTCATTATAAAATTTATAATGAAATTTAAAACTCGATGTGCGATTGTCGCGCGTCGCAAATCTGATATAAGGTTGAGCTTTCGTTTAGTTCATTGGTTTTTCGGACTATATTTTTTCATTTTGCAACATTCTTGAAAATCGAGGTTTCGTTAACCGCCTCGATTTCTGGACTACCAAAATGCTGAGTTTTATTGATTGCAACATCGTGAGCTCATTAATGAAAAATAGAGAACAGATTACATCTCAAGACCTAGTATCACATTCGTTTTGAAATATAAAAGATTTCTCTAATTTTAATAAAATAGCAATTTCTAGTTTACCTTATCATTGCCAAAAATTCCCAATTAGGATTCCCTGGATCCATATTCATAAGAGCTTCTTTTTCTTCTTTTAATTCAGCCTGCCTCTGTCTCCGTTCTTCTCTATTTTTCTTTAATCTTTCTACTTCCTTTACAACATTGGAACGTCGACTTCTACTATTGTCTGATACATTTTGAGTTTGAATTGATTGTTTTGATTTCAATGAAATAGGATTAGGAACGGAAAAAGCTGGAGTAGTAGGTGTTGGAGGGATGGTTTCAACTTCACGACGACCAGTGAAATTCAAGATTGAATCATTGCCATTGACGGATGTCGGCATAATATTAGTCGGACGGTTGATTTGCCGAGAAGTCTGTTTATTAAGAGATGCTGTAAATTATAAATATATAAAAAATGGGTTAATCAATTTCGTGTATCTAGAAAAGGAATTAAAAGAAATTAGAAAATGTTTTAAGAGTCAATCTTCAGGAAACTTGCAATAAATCAGACAACAATATTATGCAAATAACATTTCGCCGTCTTAGTTTGCGGCCATTTTATTCTAAGTAAAATAAATGTAAAACAGAGTTTTTAATGTAACTATATCTTATATAAAAAATGCTAGGAAGTTACATGTACTTATGTCACATCATTATGTATGAGATAAAGTCTAAATGTTTTAAAAATTAGGTAATTTTGATGTCAAAAACTTGTTACAAATGAACAAAAACTTTTTGTTTTCCTTTTTCATAATTGTGACGATGACACAATTAGACTGATCAGACATTGAAACTAAGCTGTGAGAACAATTGTGTACGGTTTTATGGTTTGACATAAACCATTGTGCACAGTAACGTGGCGCGAATCAGCGTGTATCAATTCTTACGCTATGTTACTATGCAAAATAATTTATATTTATAATAAAATCGTGTACAATTGTCCGCACAACAAAACTAATTGATCAAAACTAACTGAAAAATATGGCCAAACGACTGCTTATTAAGTATACATACATTCACACATAGTCATGTTATCTGTTCAAATCTACACAAAACTTCACAATTTATTACTAACAGAACATCATTTAATAATTTTTTATTATATAACTCATGAAAAAAAGATACTATATCGTCTCATAAGTTACGAGGGTCGTTTGAAAAGTCCATGCAAAAATAAAAACTGCTTGATATTTTTTAATAAATCTTTTTTATTTTTCAACATAGTCTTCTTTTAGGCTTATACACTTCATCCAACGCTGCTCTAGTTTGTTAATCCCTTCCAAATAATAGGATTTGTCCAACTCTGTAAAATAGGCATTCGTTTCTGCAATCACCTCCTCGTTTGAATAAAATCTTTTCCTCGCCAGCCATTTTTTCATATTAGGGAACAAATAGTAGTCCGACGGAGCCAAGTCTGGAGAATAGGGAGGATGTGAAACGAGTTGGAACCCTATCTCCATCAGTTTTGCGGCCACAACTGCTGAGGCGTGAGCTGGCGCATTGTCGTGGTGGAAGAGGACTTTTTTGTGGGCCAATCGTGGACGTTTCTCTAGCAACTCGGTTTTCAAACGATCCAATAACGATGAATAATATTTGCCTGTAATGGTTTTACCCTTTTCCAGATAGTCGATGAAGATTATTCCTTGCGAATCCCAAAAGACAGTCGCCATAACCTTCCCGGCCGAAGGAATTGTCTTCGCCTTTTTCGGAGCAGATTCCCCTTGGTAACCCACTGTTTAGACTGTTCTTTGGTCTCAGGAGTGTAGTGATGTATCCATGTTTTATCTACAGTGTTGAAACGACGCTTAAAGTCTTGCGGATTTTGCTGGACCAACTGCAAACCATTCTTGCAATACTTCACACGATCTCGTTTTTGGTCAATCGTGAGCAATCGCGGCACCCATCTAGCGGATAGCTTTTTCATGTTCAAATGTTGGTGCAAAATATTATGTACTCATTCGCTCGAGATGCCTACAGTACTAGCAATCTCACGCACCTTCAATCTTCTGTCAGCCATCACCATATTATGGATTTTATCAATGATTGCTGCAGTGGTAACCTCAACAGGGCGTCCAGAACGTTCAGCGTCTTTTGTGCTCATATGGCCACTACGAAAATTTTGAAACCACTTATAAACCATTCTAATCGAAGGTGCACAATCACCATAACGTTTATCAAGCTTCTGTTTAATCTCCTGAGGCGTTTTGCCTTTGAAAAAGTAATGTTTAAGGAGGTATCCTCGTGTAAATGGCGAAAAATAAATGCGATTTTTAAGATTTTTTTTTGAAAAAACTATACAATATTATCATTTGAAATTTGAACAGGTCCTCAATGTTTATTTCAGCATACAAAAAAAAATTTTCTTTTTCAATTATTACAAATAGTTGAAGCTTAATATATTATTGAAGAGACACACAATTTTTTTTTTTCGTTTTGTGCCACGTTTAATTACCGCTGTATCAATCTGAAACATACCAAAAACATTTTTTTGTTATTATAGTACGAAAAACTCGTCGATAAACTACATTTACGATTATAAAAAAATTTACTAAAAAAATGGCTGACTTCTAAACGAATTAAGAAAAATTTTTTTTTTATTTTTATTGCAAAAAAATGGTTAAATAATAACTTTTTTCAAAATCCTTTCAGTTTGTCGACTAGATAATTAAATTACCTTTAAAATGGTATTTTTTTTTTCGATACATTAAAAATTCGCGGAGTAATCGTCGACAGAAACTCGAAAAATCATTTTTCGAGGAAACCCGAGAAAACGCGTTTGCAATAAATCAAAATTTCTTTTTTCATATTTTCACTTTCAAAACCATTTTTTGAATTTACCTGCAATGCCTGGTCCATAGAGCAAACCTTCTGACTTTTTTAAGAGCACATTTTCCGCTGCATTTTTCATTTTCTTCAATAATCGAGCTTCTTTTGAGCAACTCTCACTTCGAGCATCTTACCGCTTGACTCGCTCTTGGTCCACTGTTTTCGCATAACTGGCTGTAACGTTACCGACTTGCAAATCTAATATCCTCATCATCTTCAAAATGCCTTTGAATCCATCATTGAAAACTACAGCAGCAATATAAGCAGCAATTTCAACAGTTTTAGGGCCAGAATGTAAATGTTTTGGAGCTAGACGCCACAAATGTAAATGTTTTGGAGCGCGTTGAAACTTTCGTTGGCGTTTTGAGTGTAACCGCCTAAGCACCTTTTCAATAAATCTTATTTCGAAAGATCTTTGTAAATTGGTAATAAGTGCTTTTGCAAGTCAACATATAAACCTGGAGGATGTTCATATACATTTGCCCCTACAAGGCGTGATGATTGCCACCCGCACCAGCTGTCAATTCCAGGAGGGCAATTTTCGTGCATTGGGTTTTCATCTGTAGAGCACATGTGATAATAAGTTGACATTATGGCTTTCTTCATATCTTCAACGGAGTCCACGTTCCTCCTTATTGCTAATCCGTAATAATTAGTCAACTTTGTAATTAGTGCATCTGTGAGTTTACCCTTTCCGCCTAATTTTTCAGCTTTTTTCAAATTGCGCAGTCTTGTGCCCATTCTCTTTTGCACATGGCCAATGCACTCACATTTAGTAACTGTATAGGCATCACTATAAGGATTTTCGTTCAATATGGCTAGAAATGTCTTTGAGTCGTCATCACCTGTATAAACTGTATACATTACACCGTATAATCCTTGTGATCGCAAAAACATTTCGAGTACGACATCGACCTCCATTTTACCAGCGGAGCCTTTATGATTCGCAATGCACTCATCAGCGTGATTCTCATACCAATCATTATATTCCGGCGTATTTTCTTTATAAGGATACGTAGAGCAACCTTGACAGAGCGTACTTTTCACAATTAAGTCAATAATTTTTCCCGTCTCGTATGCTATCAACGTTGTAACACCAATTTTTGACAAGAAGCCACGCTTCTTCCACGAGCCATCGCCTGATACTTTTAACTCTAGCAGTGGTCTGTTGTTTTCCTCATTTAATTTCTTTTCTTCTTTGACGGCGTTATCACAACTTGTGAGAAAACAAGCCTTCGAGGTATCATAAATATGCTGCAGTATACCATCATAGGCTTTCTTACTGAGACCTTCGCCAATATCCAGTAAACTTGCAAATAAGTTAATTCCTTTCAAGCCAACACCTAATAATCTCATTACAAATACTATACGTCGGTTTATTTCGAATCCATTATTGATGAAGGGTCCTGAATTAACTTTACTTTCACCACACCTACACGAAACAACGAGTTTCTAGCCTATGCCGCGGTGCCCAGCTTCTAAAAACTTTACAGGTCCTTTGCACGATTTGCAGCACAGCAATTCAGACAATACAGAGAACATAGTCACAAACTCAATGATGCGATACCGGTGCCCATTATTTATTGTGATTTCATCCTCCGATGCCAACGATAATTTTCTTGCACTCGCACTGGCACCTTTCGGTTCGCCTGTTTCAATTGTAAAGCGGTTTCCATAAAACTTTCTTTTGCGCTCTGATGCACGATATCTTAAGCCTCCCACGCCCTTCGGATACGAAGAAGATGACATGGTAAAACGTGCAGACTTGCTTATAACTCGGAAGCCACGAGAGAACTGAAACAGCTGCAGTAATCGCGCCGAAACTAGCAGTTCGAAAGCTATACTCTACAACCTCATCTCAGAAGTATACTAAACATAAAAAACGTTATATTTCAAACATGGCTGTATACATTTTATTGTATACCTTTGAGTTCCTACTCGATGGGGGGCCTTTGTGTTAGAGCGCTCATCTGTTTACCTGCTCCGCGCGCTGACGGACCTTTCCGAAAACGGTCATAAAATTTAAACCGCTTAGAATTTTGCTCCAAAATTCTAACAGCATACTTTTGAAAGGTATACTTTCAAAATATACACAAAAAAACAATCGATTTTTTTCGCCATTTACACGAGGATACCCCCTTAATCAATACACGAAATTCTTTTTCATCCATTTTTTTACAACCACTCGATTTCTTTGATTGAAACGAATATAAAACGCAAAGTAATTGGCCGATCTGGCTGAAACTTGATGTGTGCTCTTCCAAGATATGCCACTAACTGAAAATAACCTTGATACGCACTAGTAGCGCCATCTCTCTGACTTTGCACGGACTTTTCAAACGACCCTCGTATAGGTATAGCATGCTTTCGCCAAGTAAATTGGAAGAAACTAATTAGAGCGAGTAATAAATAAAAAATATGTATAACAAGGGTTTTATTAAGAGCTCGTGTTACAAAACTTTTGCTTTTTTCACTTGAATTTCATAATGTGAAGTAGTAGAGCTAGATAAAGTACACATTTCTGATAAATATTCAAGTTTAAGTAAAGAACGAGAATTAATTATT